ACAGAATAAACGCAAGGACAGAAACAGTAAGAGGTCATGTAATTTAATACAAATATGATTTGATTAATGATGCCGTATTAATGTGACAGTACTAATGTATCATGTTCTTGGCCAAAATATAAAAATTACCATCTTAATTTTTCATTTAAAATCACTGAAAAATTTTAATTTGCAAGCTGCATAGCTAAGGAATCTTTTCATTACTGAGGATCTGTACATGAAAGTGTTGGGAGGGCGAGAACTCTCATTCCTTGGGCCACGAGAAGCTGTAGGCATTGAGGAATGACAATTTACAGGGACACAGCACAGTCTACGGGGCTTTCAATCACTCCCTATGAGCTGGCTCTAAGAAGGCATTGCAAATTCAGAGGAAACCAGGAATATGTAATTTAGGGTGTATGGGCGGAAGAAAAGGTTGAAGGATTTGGGGTGGATACACAGTATGGGGCTAAAGCTATCAACTGCCAATATCTCACATGTAATCCAGGCCAATTCTCAAATCACTGTTTCATAATAGTTCTTGCCACTTATACATTCAAATTAAACAGAAGTGAAGCGCTCAAGGCAACACAGCAAATCAGTGGGAGAGCTGTTCGAAAATTCAGGTAGTCCTGACTCCAAAGACTTAAGTGTGGCTGACATATGAGGTGTCTAATGAAATTTTAATCTCCAAGAAGGGACAGTTGTTTCTCTTTCCTTAGCAATGGCACAGTTTCTAGATTTTCTGTCAACTGGCCAAACTGCATCTTCACCTCTTTTTGGAAGAAAAAAGATAAATTGAGGGAAACATGAGCCCATAACATGTTACATAGCTGATACTACAAATGTTTCAATATAGTCTTAGGACCTTGAAGGGGAACTAATGCAGCAGGTCCTGCTCCTTTTCACTTTTTGGATGTGAGAGCGTTGAGCCATCCCTGCTGGGAAATCTAAGTTCTTCAGGCTTAATCCCTTTTGACCCCTTAGCTACCTCTTGCAGCTCTTTACATAGACGAGGAGACTGGGACTTTTTTGAATGATACCTCTTTATTCCTTTCCCTGTTTCATCAGCCTATTCTTCCTACTGTACATCTGTTTTCTCCATATTCTTTGTCCTCATCCTCTCTTTAAAGCACCTTTCTAAACCAAGATTATGTTGTTTTTAATGCAAAAAAGTACAAAATGCAAAAGCAGCAGCAAAAAACCTGTGCCTGCTAACAGTGACTCCAAAACAGGCAGTCTGTTTTACTTAGTGTCACGTACCTTCCAGACCTTCATATTTTCAGTCTCATACATGAGTAAAAAACAAAACAAAAATAAGGCTTATAATTTTCTGCAGGCAGTCACACAAAGTGCAAAACTAAAATCAAATATACCCAGGAGAGCCACATTTCAGAATTTTCTCCGCCTCCAACACAGAGCAAAAATACAATTTCCTTCCAGCCCTTTGGCTTAAATAAAAGCTTGTGGATTCTTACAAAAAGAGCTACTATATTACTTTATTCAGCTTCCTGGACAGTAACTAACTTAATAGAAGGCTGACTTGTGTTTTTAGTTGTTTTTTCCAGTTCCCTGAGGCTCACAAAACTATAATCCCTACTTTTGCCTCTGTCCATTACCTACAGACATGGAAAATGCATGCAGCCTGGCATCACATGGGGTGGTATAATCACAGGGATTGCTAAACAGTGTAAGGAACTTCAGGTTTGAACCATAGCTTCCCATCGGGGTCAACTCAATTCTTTGTGAACTAGACTGAGTACCATGTGCTTCACTGTGCATATAGGTCTTTCAGATGAGATCTTAAAATCTGGAGGTCTTGTCTCAGTTGATGTTAAAGTTTCCATGACACTTTTCTTGAAACCAGAAGTTTTCTCCAGTGTCCTTGGCCAAAATTAACACTCCTCCCACTGAGTACTGGTGGCTTGCTGCTCTCTCTCACAAATATGGCAGCATTTTAGTGGTACTGGAGGTATATGGTGTATAGAATATTTGGGAAATCTTTCATGATGATGGGTGTTAAATATATGTAAGACGGTTTTAATTTAGAGAAACAATCTCAGTGTGATGATTTGGGGAATTTGTCTATGTACACCTTATAAACTGATGTTATGAAGTTATGAAATTGTTGTATCATTGAATGCCTGTTATGTGGTGGTAGAGTCCACCATTTGCTCACAGGGACTGTAGCTCTGTTGTCCCTGGTCTCTGCCAGACCAGAAACAACAGAGAGTTATAAACTGTGCTGTGACTGAACAATGGGTTTGCAAAGGTAATTGCCTGAATGGGGAAAACAGTTTGACCAAGTTGCTCCCCAGAGGGCTGGTGAATTGGAGAGTGGAAAATCATCATCAGCAGAACAAATAAACCTGGTGTTGGCAGAGAAACATAAATTCAAGTAAGTCAGATAGACACAGGAAGCGTTGGGCAGGAGAGCGGGGCATGTTTTGTAGTAGGGGAGTCCTGTTTAACTATGGGAGCAGACAAGATCAGAAAAAGCTGACTGGCCTAGAGAGGGGAGAGAGACTCTGATTCTGAAGAGAAGCTGTGGGCTTCAGGAGCAGGATCCTGGATACAACACTGGACTTTGCCAAAGCTCAAAGCATTCCCCAGAGTGTTGAGGAAACTGATCATGGAAATGCACATAGGTGTGTTTATTATTTTGTCTAGATATGTATATTTCTCATGCTGCTAAGTAAAGAGTAAATCGTGCTTAGATTCCTGTGAAAAACTTGCGTATCTGTTTCCTTTCAATGTCATGTGTCCCTGAAGGGTCAAACTGTAAACCTAGAACAGCCACATGGCTTGAGTTCTGGGAGATGGTGTGTTTAGGCTACAGACAGACTTTGAGGGGTCAGCACTAATCCCAGAGGTGAGGCAGTTGGACTGAGGAGTCCCAGCTGTCTGGAGAGGGTGCTACAGAGGATCTGTACGACAAGAGTGTGTATAGAAACCCCACCCGGGCACAGTGTCTGGATTCTGTTCAGACTCAGGAGGCTCAATGCACATGTGCCTAATGAGGTAGAGCTTGGTGAGTGTCCAGGCAGAAAGGGAGCGTGTGTGTGTGTGTGTGACATCCCCCCCCCAAGCAACTCCATTCCACTGTAACTTTAATTGCTAAAAGGATAGATATAAACACAACAGATACATAAAGTCTAATTTCATTTAATTCTGCTGTTGGTGCTCTAGTGCGCCAACTTCTAGCTGTTTCAGCCATGAGCATAAATACCATTTGCTGAAGCCTGCTTACAATATGAATTGAAAATGTACAGTGTAACTAACTTAAGGAACAGACCAATTCGAGATACTTAATAGACAATTACTATGTAGCATTGTCTAAAATTAAAAACCACAGGACTGGGAAATCGGAAAACAGGGCTTCTAATCCCAGCTACCTAACTTGCCTTGTGTCTGTGCGCAAATCAATTTAACTTTGTCATGCCTCATTTTCCTTATCTGTACAAAGGGGCAGGGTACCATGCCTAACAAGGGTGTTTTGAAGCTTAATCAAGTAGTGTGTGTAACATGCTAAGTATCACTACCAAGGCCCTAAAGCCCATTGCTTCCTTAAATACGTTAACTGTTTGAATTCCCCCTTCAATTTCAACAGAGTCTAGTGTATGTCATTTCCTGTCCAGTAGTGCTGCTCTGGGCAGCTGTATGGTTGCTTCTTTTCACCCCAGAGGTGGCTGTATTTCAAAGGTGAATGAAGTGATTACACAGGTCTGTAAATTGCCAATAATTTGGCTTAAAAAGAGGCTAAGTCATTTATTATTTATGTAATTATTTAGTCCAGTATCATCTTTGCGCATCTTTTGACATTTTGTAGGGGCAGCAGTGCCGCCTTCTGCTCCACCATGCCCTGTTGGTACTGCCATTAGATTGTCCACGAGTGCTTATTGTCCCTGCTTATATTGCAGCTACCATCTATATCTGGAGGGCATTCCACTACTTACGACCTGTGGATGCCCTTGGCGGCCCATGATACTGCCCCTGGGAAAGTGACCCAGAACTGAGTTTGAGAGACATGGACAACATATCACCCGATATCAGGAAACGTGATCATATGTGCTGTCTTTAATCTGTTTGCAGAGTCAAATGCTAGGATAAGATTCCTAATACTGAAATGCTTATTTGTTGTTGGACATCTGGCTTTCAAAGAATGCTTATAATAACTCAGCTGCATTGGTCTAGGCAACTTGATTGTACTGCTGACTCAAGAATACCCAAGGCTATACGTTAGGGTCAGTTAAAGCAAGACACCTGCTCTCATGGTGACCAGTCCAAATGGTGTAAAGATAAACCAAAGTCACACTTGAAAGCGTGTCAGGCCTACCCCAGTAACTGGGAAGCAACAGTCCATGACAGAGCAAGGTGGCAGCAGATTTGCCATGTTGCCGTTAACCGCTTTGAAACAAGGCACATCAACACCTTACGTGAAAAACACAAACAGCAAAAAGCAAGGACACAACAGCCTGCAATGGTCTTGCACAATCTTGTCTGTCCCACATGCAGTCATGCTTGCCGTTCTTGCATCAGTCTGATCTCACATGTGTGTGTTCATTTATTGTGTTCACGGAACCCTCGTAGATCAATACCAATGCAAGACTCCATCCATCCTGTTATTTAGTATAGTGAAAGCTAGTTCAGTGTCTGTTTTGTGTAGGTATGTTAGAATTATTCAATTCATTAATATTGTATTGTTTAAAGTGACAGGTACAAATGTGAATAAAGCATTAAACAATAGATAATGGGCTTTTGTAGTCTAACATGGAACTATAATTAAAGTAGAAGATTGAACAGTTTTAGTTAGCCAACTATTTTCCTAATGAGAGAGACATAAGGAAACTGTTGTATCACTGAGAACTGGAAGCAAAATGGAAGACCATCAGTGTTTACACTTCACCTTTGGATATGTCCCCATTTCTTGATTGTACCAGTTATTGCAACTCTCAAAGCTCTATTGCTATTTCAGGAAAGGATTTGGACAAGAAATGCTGGAAGAAAAATGTAACACTCACAATTTCATTGTAAGTAGGGTCAGTGCTTTTTGGAACTGCTTTCGTTTTCCTTCTGCTGACTTCATCAGGATCCGGTAAAAGATAAAATTCAGCATGTGCAGTTGGGACAGAGCCATCTGGGAGATGCTGTAGAACAAAAGGGTTATAAATATGAATGTCTGTGTTTCTAGCAAGGAAAACAAATAGAGAGGGACCAAATTAAATCTCGACTTAAAGCAGACATGAGGAGACTTATTACACTGACAAAGTTTTATTGGTATAAAATGGAGTACTAACCACTGTAAACAGCAGAAATACATAGAATTCAACCACATATTGTGTTGGGGAAAGTAAACGAAAAAATAAAAACAAAATAAAATTCTCCAGATTTAATACTTTTAGTGGAAGAATCCTTAAGCATCAATCCACTTTAACTTGTGTGAAACTGGTATGCAATGGAGCCCTTACATTCTTCAAAGCAGTGCACAGAAACTGGAGTTTAGCCAGACATCTCCTATTGACTTTAACCCATAAAAAATGAGCCACTTCCAATGTTGATATGGGGACAACTGATTGTTTTTAAGGGTGTTTCATAGAGGATGCTAGCACAGAAGATCCAGGAGCATTTTCAGCTACAATACGGGCAGGAAGGGATACTTATATAAAGTCTGACCCATGCCCCACCTCCACACAGCTGGGAACTCTCTTTATTCCCCCCATTAACACTACACATATTGACTACTGGGCCAGGAATCAGCAAGGACAGGAAGAGAAAAGGCCAAATGAGAGGAAATGGCTGTGGAGATCCACCAGTAGTTTCCTTCTTGATATGTGGATAGAGACAGCCAGAAATTTGGCCCTTAGAAAAGGAGATGGAGATTGCAGAGAGTTATGGTTAGTTATCTGGGAGAGGGTCTGTGTAGGGATCATTAGTTGTGAGAAGAGATGAATGTACTTGTTCTCAGTGACCTATGAATATAGGAACCAAATCAGGTCAGTGATCCATCCCGCTCAGTATCCTGTCTCTGATGCCCCTACTGGATGTTTTACAGGAAGATGCACACCATCCATAAGTGAGCAATTGTGGAATAGGGGGAAGTTTCTTCCGAGTCAGTTAGTGTTGGCTTATGCTTGTGCATAGCAGTGCCTGTATTCCTCACTAAGGATCTCCCAAACCAGGGGCCATCAAAATGCTGACAACACAACATGCAATTAGACAGCACAACATGTAACATACCATCATAGATGTTTTACAAAATGTCAGCAATCTTGAAGGTGTTTTTAGGCTTTTAGAAAGAAAGCGTACTGGCCAGTTTGCAAGCACCAGAAGGAAGTGGGCATTCATGGACAGAAAGTGAAGTGAAACTCCATGTAAACTAACAAATAAAAGAATTTTCTGAGTGGATGGGCTCCGCGTGTCATTTTGGCTGCACAATCATATCTATATTCCTCACTTCAGCTTCACTTGACCCATGACAAAGCAGTTGCTCAGATTTGGATAATTCACAGTATGGGACCAGAAATGTTAGCTTTTCCTGCAGGAACAACATATCTTTGAACTGGAGATGCTACAGGCATCCCAGCAATAACTAACATCTGTGTAGAAGAGAAGATGCACAGATGCATGTGTGAGTGTGTTGATATAACAATTAGCGGATGGCACAAAGACTTCTTTTTTTTGTTACTTGAAGTGATCTCTCACAGTATACGATTTGGTCCAACCATACAGCTTAATGTGACTATGACTAATGTTATTACTGCTTACATAGCACACTGCTGGCATTATACAAATCATCTACAGCTCCTCCCCCACTCCTTCTTTCCCCACCTAGAGTTTAGGGCAGAAGTGAAAAAGACGACAGTCAATTTTAAATACATAAGGAATTTAGATAGGCAGGATGCAAATTATGCAAATAGGAACTTTACTAGGGCATTGAGGCAAACAGACAATTTTATAGGACACAGCACTGCATTGTTAAATTAACACAGTATTAGGAGTCATACAATCCATTGAAAAGCCCCTCTCCAAGGCTTTTGGACCTAGAGTGACCAGATGTCCTGATTTTACAGGGACAGTCCCAATTTTTGGGTCTTTTTCTTATATAGGCTCCCATTATCCCCCACCCCGTCCCGATTTTTCACATTTGCTGTCTGGTCACCCTATTTGGACCTGTCATCATATATTAAAAATCCAATCATACTAGCACCTGCAAAAGTAAACTCAGCAGTCTCCCCCAAACTGTGCAGGAACAAACCAATCTAGCATTAAACATCAGTCCAAGGTGCACAGATCCTCCCCTTCACCAGCCCCTTTCCTCTGCTAGGAAAAAGAGATGAGCTTTTCAGCATGCCCTGAAGGGTCAGCATAGTTCAGACCAAAAGGGAGAGTGGATTCCAAAATTCAGGGTCCCTCATGGAGAATGCTGTGACCGCAGCTCCCTCTCTTTTCAACTGGGAAGAGGGGGTCCAGCTCAAGTCAAAAGCAGCATCTTCTATCCCACCCAGAGTCAGCATTCATAGAGCGCACGTGTCACATGTTCATGGAGAAAAACTCCGTAGTCAGTAAGTGAGGTATCATGTTCTGCAGTAGCTTCAGCTGCTGAGTTGATATAAGTAGAATTGGGTGAATAACTGAGTTTTTGGTTCAGCCTACAAACTGAAAAGTCAGGGAAAATACTTGGTGTGAGAAAGAGAAAGCATTCCCTTTTTACAACTCTTAGCCCAGTGGTTAGGGCATGTGCCTGGAATATGCAAGACCCAGATTCAAATCCCCACTCAGGAGAAGAGACTTGAATGGAAACCTCCCCAGTACCAAATAAGTGCCCTAACCACCAGGCTGTAGGCTATCAATCTCGCTGTTGAAACAGTTCCACGAAGTATAGGTTACACTGCTCTCAAATCTTTCCTCTTGAATGTACTTAAATATTCATTGGGCCAAAGAGAGAATGATCTATAGTCTATTGATTAAGGAAGTCACCTGTGTGGTAGGAGATGTGAATTCATTTCTTCTCTCTGCCTGATTCAGAGGAGGGATTTGAATTCACATCTGCCACCTCCCAGGTGAACACCTTAATCACCAGGCAGATCTCCAGCTGGTGGGGGCAACCTGGCCCACAATGTAGCAGTACGATCTGGACCCAGATTATGCCAGGGGCCTTTGAAAGGGACTCACGTACACAAGAGCGGGTTGGTAGAGGTAAGCTGCGTTGGAGTTTTGATGGAGCAATGAATAACAGTAATCAGGATAGGCAACTTTAACATCCCCAAACAGCTATATTTAGGAGTGACTGGTCCACATAATTTACTGTAGTTGCCTTTGAAAAATATGATATTCAGACATGGGTTTATTTAGGAAACACATAACTTACTACAGAAGCATGAATCTGAAGAACAGACAACCCTGAATGACAAACAGGTCAAAACTAATGCTAACACATTTGAGACGAGATCTCAATATTCATTTTGTACCTAATTGGTGAATCCTTATAAAATCTCTGTTGCATGAGGTATTTGGGACGGCTTTTCTCAATTTGCACAGTAGCTCAGCATTGCCTTGTGAAGAACCCGTTTCACTGGGGGATTTCCTGAGACAAGGCATGCAATCAGACCTGATGAGGCCACAAAAGAGGCTTTAGTTTCTTCATTCAAAAGCATTATTGTCAGACACACCATCCCAGGAACAACTGGGAAATTTTGTCAATTTGGGAATCTCAGTGTGAAACCAAGGGTGGGATTAACACAGCAGAACTATCAAGAAATCTTTGTGAAGTGACTGTCTTGGCTCAATTGAGCACTTATCTGAATAAGGGAAAAAAGGAGAACACACAAGGAAATATTACTTTCCTAAGAATGATGCTCTCCACTGCTAGCTTTCATGACATTGCATCGAGTGACAAACAGTCTGATTCTCCTCTGACTTTGTCCTGATTCAGGATACACCAGTGTAACTTCATCACTGGTGTTACATAAAGTTCAAGTAAATAAGAGGAATGTCATTGCTGGTCTCAGTTACTCCTATGTACATCTGTTGTGAAAATCTAGTATAAACATGGGATAAGATTTTCAAAAGCACAAGGAATACAACTGGATGTGTTTTATGGAGGTCGCACTGGATTAGGAATAAAGAAAAGGAGGACTTGTTGCACCTTAGAGAGTAACAAATTTATTTGAGCATAAGCTTTCGTGAGTTACAGCTCACTTCATCTGTTACTCTGAAACCTGGATTAGGAATAGTGGATCCAGAATGTCATTTACCCTTTATAAAATTTCCATCATCCTTTTTGTTGTTTTAGGAGAAACTGACATATCAAAAGAAGGTTGGTGGCTATTTTCAGGATTCTGCTTATTTTGGAACTTGCTGTGGTGTATAAACTAGCTGGAATTTTTTGATGTATGTAGACATTTTGGGTCAATTTCTTCAACACATTGCCCATCTCACAGTCAAACAGTCTGATCACTGTGTCAAATAACTGAGCAGTAGTAGCTTATCTGTCTGAGGAAAGAAGCACAAGTCGTCAGCTTGGAAATTCTGCTCTAAAGCTTTTGCTATTAGCAGATCAAAATGCCTGGTTTCTGTCCAGAGTCCAGGCTGTGGAAAGAGCTACAGTATGCCTGCGGGATATTTGGTTCCACATATTAACTGTTTGGTGCAGTCTTCATAGCTTGACTTTGCAAGAAAGCACAACACAAAAACCATGGCTTTGGGCCAAATTCGGCTCCAGTTTAAATCTGGAGTAACTTCATTAACCCATTTTCAGACATGACTTAGGCATTTAGGAGCCTAACTTTCAATGATAGTTCACAGGTCTCTTTTGAAAATGGGCCTTAGGTACTTTTGAAAATGTTATCTGTTACCTTTAGTGAAGTTACTCCAGTTTTAAATTAGAGCGAAATGTGGACCAAAGCCTTGGGTTTTCTGTTGTGTTTGCTTACAGAAAAATTCAAAAGCTACAAAGACTGGTTAATATATGGAACCAAATTCCCAGCATATATGCTATTGCTCTTTTCATAGCCTGGTCTATGAACAGAAACCAGGCATTTTGATCTGCTTATAGCCAAAGTTTAGTGCTGGATTTAAAAGCTGACTTCTTGTGCTTCCTTCTTCATACAGATAAACTACTATTATTCAGTTATTTGACAAAGTGACC